TATCTTCATTCCGAGTTTGCATCGTATGCAGTGCCTCATGGAAACCTCAAGTCTAGCAACATTCTACTCAATGAAAAATACGAGCCACTTCTATCAGATTACGCATTCTATCCACTGATCAACAACACGCAAATTGTTCAATCCCTTTTCGCGTATAAAGCACCAGAAGCCATACAACATCAACATCTCACTCCAAAATGTGACATATATTGTCTTGGAATCATAATACTTGAAATCCTTACAGGGAAATTCCCTTCTCAGTATCTCAACAATCAAAAAGGTGGAACGGACGTTGTTCAATGGGTGCAATCAGCTATAGCTGACCAAAGAGAATCCGAATTGATTGATCCAGAGATAGCGTCTGCAACAGACTCCGTTGAACAAATGGTGAAACTCCTTCATGTAGGAGCTGCTTGTACTATAAGCGATCCGGATAAGAGGATTGATATGAAGGAAGCATTAAGGAGGATAGAAGAGATAAGTTTAATATGATGAACATAAACCTTCCAAAAGGTAATAGGTTAGTAGATTCGTGTGAAGCTTTAGTTTCGTTACCTGCCAGAGCGATCCTTAGCCTCCTTTGATTCCGTTTTATCTCAGTTAAACTCCACAACGTCTCTCGGCTCGTTCAAATGAATGTTGATGCAGGAAACAAATGTCATTTTCTTCAAATACTGGAGCTGAGGTTCATTTGCCAAACAAAACAGAGTTTACTGTATATAAAACACCAAAATGAGACTTCTAAATTACCAAAAACATAATGTTGATTACTAATTCTACATGTTTTGTTTTATTGTATAGAATTTGTTTCTTTTTGTGTGTGTGAGTTAAAGAGGTACATGGATCCTCAAGGCAATGATCAATTTAGACATAGATTTTGAATACAACCTTCCGGCTTGATCTCCTCCTTTCTGCTTATGTTAGCTCACGTTGTCACACAATCTAATCTAACGCGCTCCCATCAAGAGATCGTTTGATGATTTAGCAAACAAGATGATCTAGCTTTGATTTGTCAAAAAACCTATGTTGTTCGTACTCTTCAAAAATATGCATTTTGATTAGTCAAAAAACCTATGTTGATCGGACTCTCCAGAAGGGTTTTCGTGCACTTGTTAGATCCTCCCAAAATGCACTACTTTTGAAAGATCTGACATGCATCCTATGACATTTGGAAATACTTGTATATTCACTACTACTTCATTTTGATGAATTCAAACATTGAGCTAGAAAGAGAGACCTATTAAGTATTTGAAGTTAATGAATTCATATAACGATCTCAAATTATATAAACAATGGCCACTCGATTCACAATCAACTATTTACAACTATATAATGAATATTTTAATATATACAATGTCTAAACAAAAGCTATTGAGTTATCGTGACCTGTAAGTTGTACTCTAGCTGTGTAAATGTAATCCTAGTACAGTATACATACACAATGAAAAGTGTAAATGTAATCATAGTATATATTATTTTTTGGACTTAAATGATATTTTAGACTTAATGAAATACCAAATCTCACCTAGAAAAGTTGAAGTGACTATATATTATATGCCTTCATAATTTCCAACAACTTTGCAAGAGGAGCCAAAAAAGAAAAGAAAAAAAACAGAGACAAACAAAAAAAAATGGCATCAAATTCTACAGAGCCTACAGCTTCCAAAATAGTTGCTAAGCTAAACTTGAAGCCACATCCAGAAGGGGGATTTTACTCAGAAACATTTAGAGATAACTCAGTTATTCTCACCAGATCTCATCTTCCATCGACATGTAAGTATTTCTGTATAAATTTAATTAGTTTTTAGATCTTGAATTTCTTAGATCCCTCATGAGATTTTTGGATCTTAGATCTGTCAATTCTGTGGCTTTTTGGGCAAATCAGGATACCAAATCTCAAATTCTCAAAACAAAAACAAAAAAAATTGGAATCATGAGTTTAATTTTATTTTATTTTTAAATGTAAACTTAACCCATAAATTTATATTGGCATGATACTTAAATTTTGAATGTCCACAGATACTTAACTTTGTATAAAATTGAACAAGTAGACATTGATGTTCTACGTTGACATAATACACATAGGACGCTCAATTTGTGTGTGTGTCTACTTGTGCAAATGTAAAGATGGAGAACATAGATGCCAGGTGAGACTAAATTAAGAGGACGAGTTTATGAATTATGCCATTTATATTTTGTGATCTTAGTTGGCATCTACGCTCTTCAACTTTGGGTGTGCACAATAGACATTTAAATTTATATAAAGTTGAACTAATAGATATACGTGGCGTACATGACGTAGGATACAAATTGTCACATAGGACGTCAAGTAGGATGCCTTGTTCAATTCTATACAAATTTAAGTGTCTACTTGTGCACACACAAAGTTGGAGGATAAGTTAAAAGGATAAATCTATGTATTTATGCCTTTTAGATTTTGTATAAAATGACTCGTGTTTGGCGTGAAAAAGTTGTCAATACTATGTGAAAGTAGAGGCAAATCTAGAATTTTAAGTTTATGAATCCCCACAGGTATTTAGAATACAAAAAACGAGTGTAAATAAGAAATTGATCCCAAGGGATTCGAACCCCTGCACACGAGCTGATGGTATTCTGTTTTCTTATCAAAAAGTTTTGACTGCCTTTTACTGTCTCGTGTGTATCACGAGCAGTATTTGTAGTGGCGGAACAGGATTTTTACTAAAAGGATTTCAAAATTGAAAAGTAAACACACAAAGAAGCACAAGGGGTTCAACGTCTACTATATATACATAAAAAAGTAATGTTAACCAGTATTTGGTTCCGTCCTTGAGCATTTGCCTCATAAGAGAGTATAGGTTGAAACTTTCATTATCGAATTAGTTGGTTTTTCCCTGATCTTTTGGGTTTCACCATTGCAGATAAGGTTGATCGACCTATAAGTACATGCATCTACTTCTTGCTACCTTCTGGAAGCGCGTCTCATCTTCACCGGATACCGTGTGCAGAAACATGGCATTTTTATATGGGAGAGCCAATCACTGTGAGTACTAATACACTATAGTAGATGATCATCTTCCCTGTAGTCTACATGAACCTTTATGCACCAGATTAGGATTATCTCTGCATTATCTGAGCTGTCTTTCTGCATCGATATGTATATTTAGACACTTAAACTTGGCCTTAGCTAACAAGTAAGCACTCCAACTTTGAGATGCATATCCACACATCTCATCTCGTCTCCATTGTATCAGTTGAGACTTGAGCCACTCCAACTTACAAAATGATCATCTAGACACCTCCAAAATCTATGTGTCACGTCAGCATGGGTGTTCCATAAGACAGTTGTGAGGAGTTTGAGTGATTAGTTATATGTTCAAACCAAGTTGAGGTGTCTAGATGTGCACTCTACTCTCAAGTTGGAGTACTTAATTGCTAGGCGATGCCAAGTTTGAATGTCTGTTTATGTATTATGCCTTGTGTTTTGGTGTGAACTGAAAGGGATTGACTGGAATGACTCACTCAAAAGTTTTAATAAAACTTGTAAGGACTATAAGGGTCATTAAATTTCACTCCCTACATAGGAAAGAGATGTTCTTTTTGAAACAGACTAAAAAGGAAAGTAAGACAATATGAACTTCACAAGTAAAGAACATGTTCTTCTGGGGAAAAGTTTCTTAATTTGGATCTTCATAATCATTCTTTACGATGATAGAACATTTGTTATTCCCCGCAAAGAGTTATGCACTACTCATTCACCAATGTTTTCCTAAAAATGACAACAACAACACCTTTTGTACTTTCAGGTGATGGAACTAAACGAGACTGATGGCAAGGTGAAGTTAACTTGCATTGGACCCGATCCCCTCGTAGATGATCAATTCGTGCAGTATACAGTACCTCCAAATGTATGGTTTGGCGCATTTCCCACAAAGGATTACAGCATATCTTCCGAAATGCAAGTAACGAAAGCACCTACAAGAGATGGTGAGAAGCATTTCTCTCTAGTTGGATGCACTTGTGCTCCAGCATTCCAGTTTGAAGATTTTGAATTGGCAAAACGTTCTGATCTTGTTTCGCGTTTTCCTGCCCATGAATCCCTCGTCTCTTTGCTCGCCTTCCCTGATCTGTGAACATGCTAATTGTGTTTTTATTGAGATATATGTACTCAGTGGCGGATCTAGAGCATAATCTACGGGTTTCACAGAACCTGGTAGCTTTTTCACGGACCTTGTAAAATATCTATAAATATTTGATTCTTGTTTCCTGTTTCATCTTATTACTTGTGTGTTATTTGTTCAGAGTGGCAATAAAAGGCAATTAGTTAAGTTATTTCGTGTCTAGTTCAGAATGCTTTGTTTTGCTTTCACTTCCGTTTATTTTTTTTTGGAATATTGATTTTCTTGAGTCGAGGGTCTATCAGAAATAGTCTCTCTCTAACTCTGACGTAAGGAAACTGTGCATACACTCGATCCTCTCCAAACCCCACTCACAGGGTATGGTGTTGTATCTACTTTCAGAATGCTTTGTTTTGCTTTCACTTTCGTTTATTCTTTTTTGGAATACTGATTTTCCCTGAGTCAAGGGTCTATTAGAAACAGACTCTCTCTACCTCTGATGTAAGGTAAAGTCTGCGTACACTCGATCCTCTCCAGACCCCACTCATAGGGTACGATGTTGTATCACTTTCAGCGTAGTTCATTTTCCCATCATAATGTATATAGCTTATTTGTTCGTAATCATCCACAAACTTTTAATATCGTTCTTAATAAAAATATTTGTCATTTTAGATGTTCAAGACAACAATAATTATCTTTCTTTTTTTTCATTTTATTCTTAGTAGTTAATTGCTCATAAAGACTAAACATTATAAAAACATAATGGAGTAATATTTAATGAAGAACGATTATATCTTAGAAAATATCATCAAATCGTTTGATTTTTTTTATAATAATAAGTTACTTGTGATTTATATTTTAATACTGAGGCAGATAATATTATTCCTTAAAAACAACCATTAATAATAATAATTTAAAAAAATACTAGTCAAAGTCAAGAAACTCCATTCTTCTTCTAGTGGAACCCTTTAGTTCTTCTGCATTCTTGTCTGCCTTTTGAGCCTACAATAATATTAGTCCGAGGTGTTAAATAGACGGATTGAGTTAAATTTAAACAGATTAAATTCGTCCAAACGTAAATGAATTAGACAGAATATATTCTCATGAGTTAATTTTGCACTATCATTTAATTACCACAAGCCACATTATACACATAAAAATGCTATGAAACTTAGTTCATAAGAAACCAATAATTTTTTTATTATGTTCTAAAAAGAATAGTACTATTTGGAAATTTAAACTTTCTACTTTTCATTTTATTGTATATTATTTTATCGTCACATAAATGTATAATAACATATGTTTAAAATCATAAGTTTCAAAATTCTTCCGACCATCAAACCTTTTTTTCTTCAATTTTGTGCAGAATCAAACACGATCACATAAAATGAAAAGAATGGAGCAACAACAACAACAATATAGGAAACACTTGATCAAGCAGTTTTACAAGAAACATACCTCATCTATTTCAGTTTATATAATATCATTTGAATTTTGATTAAAAAAATAAAAATTAGGTAAAACATACCCTTTTGATTTCTGTTTCTGAAACACAAGTCATGTGTGGGGGGAGCTCCTCCTTATTAGACTCCTACATATATAAAAGGGTGGTCACAAAAAAAAATAACATCCTACATATTAATATAAATCATTCTGCTTTGCAGATTTCGATAATAATGATGATTTCATAAAATTCACTTATTCACCTATATGTAAACTTTGTTATAACTAATCTATACTTCTTCCTTTAAATGATAAAATTAATTGGGGGTAACAACCGTCCACGTTATCGCGATCTGAATACTTCACTCTATCAGTAAGAATGACAAACATTGTATGTGTACATAATTGACACGAGTTGATGACTCGTGCTACTAACCGTTGTCTGAGATTTTATGTATTATTTTATACAAAATAAACGCGGAATCTTACGTACCCGTTGTCCAATGAGCATAACATTCTCCCCACGAACAATGTAGAGACCCAAAGGTATGTCACAACAGAGATTTCCCACTATTACTCTTTCTGAGGTACCTTCCAATACTATATTTGCTATATTCAAACATTAAAAAGAAATAAATCGTCAAGAAATATAGAATTTGTCCGTTGTTAATTCCTGTTTATTTAACAAGTGACTTATGAATAAATATCAAAAAATACTTTACCATATTGATCGAAAGAACGGAAAGTTCCCAAGAGTTCTCTACCATCTCGTAGTAATATAATAATTTTTCCTATAAAAAATAATTCAATCGTATAAAGACCACGAAAAAATTACATAACTAGTATACATGCATGTTTATAGGCGAATTAAAAATCTAGAGTCAGTTCACCATAAGTGTAATCGATACATTGTATGTACAATTTTACAATTATACTCATAATGTAAAATAAAATTATGTTATATATTAATCGTATATATAACTTAAACTCTTAATTGAGACATAATGAATATTTTATTTAATTACATAGAGGAGAAAATAATAGAGGGAAAAGAGAGTTAGGGTTCATACTATCAAGATAGCTTGCAAGGCTTGATGAGAACAAGTTGTCATTTGAATCTGACCAATTAGACATTTGTTGTGTCTTTAACACATCTGTTTTCTTGCTCATTAGCGCTATTATTTTATTTACAAAATAAAATAGAGAAATTGATTCATATCATGACAACTTATATGAAATAACGGTTTTGTTGATGCATTTCTCTTGAAATTATGAAGAAGAAGAGAGATTTATAGGATGGATGGAAAAGGATTAATAAAGTGATATGAATAATGACTATACAATGCATATAATATAATACCTCATAATTAGAGGCGGATTCAGAATTTAAGTTTTATAATTCAATTTTTAAGATTCTTATAGTAAATTGTGAGTTTAAATTTATTATTTATTATTATTTTAATATATTCTTACATATAAAATATTATGTTTCATATAAAATATATTGAATTCAGATAAATTCGATACCGTAATATATATTTATTTATTTTTTGGAAAAAAGACATTTACTTTTAGATGAGTTGGTTTTTTTTTATAAGTGGTGTAAGTGTTTGGTAAACCTTTTTGGACGGTGGCTTTTGTAAGAAAAAAAGAAATAAACCATCTTTTTCTTCCAATTCCCAATTTCCCATGATTCTATCCATGACATTTTTCTAGCACTAAATCTTTATAGGATGCTACACACATTTATATACTAGATAGAGCACTAGTTTTTTATTTATGAATTTAAAGTTTATATATGTATTTATGTATAGTAAATAATTCTTATATTAATAGTGTATTTAATTGATGAAGATGAGTCTTGAAGTAACATACCGTAAAGTTATTGTTGAATTGTATGATTTGTAAATCAGGAGTTTGAGCTAGCTGTGAAATTAGCTATTGATGCTTATGTCAGAGTATATCAAACTTTTTTATGGTGCGGTTCTTCGTCAAATCCTGAATAAATGCGCGGAATAATTAGTGTGCTAGACTATCCATTTTTAGAGTTCATATTTTATGTATTTACAATAACAATAGCATATCCAATGAACTTCCACCAGCGAGGTATGGAAAGGGTAGAATATATGTACGCAGACCTTACCATTACCTCGTGAAGGTATAGAGAAGTTGTTTTTGAAAAGCTCGACTCAAGTGTAACAAATCTTGTTATAAAGAAGAAGGAGATAATGAAGATTTACGCGGATCTTCATATTCATTTAAAGAAGTTTGCTACCATAACAATATATTCAATATAGTCTCATAAAGTGTGGTCTAGAAAGAATATAACAAATTTTATTTTATCTTAAAGATAGAAAAGTTATTTTCGATAGACTCGAGCTAAAAAAAAACTGTCCAAAACAGTTCAGAGCTTGAAGCCATGCAATATGATTTATTATAAAATATTTTGAATGATTTGATTTGAGAAAAGATTTATTTGCTTTCCATCCCTTATCTGACATCTGTTAGCGCTTTAATCCCATAAGCTTTTGAGATTATTTGTCTTTTTATGCTTTTAAATTTCTGTTTTCTAAATTTAATCAAAGGTCATTGCTTTAATGATTAGGTGATTTAAGAAAAAAAAAAGACACCACAATTATAATGTCTATACGTCTCAGATTTGAGCTATTGAATATGAAATTGTTTTTATTAAAAAACAATATAAATCTAAATTTAATCAGACTCGACAAATTATGCTCCTTGCTTTGCTTTGTCCCTACAATTCTTTTGTTGGTCCATAATTTGGAATAATTACTTTACATGACATCTACCTTACTTGCAACTTAAGGTAGCAAGACTGAATTTTAGATTGAGTTAGAACAAATTGATATAACAAAATAAACTATTTTATCTTACAACTTATTTAGGTGTCTGGTGAACATAAAAGATTAGTTGGATGGTAATTGTCGTTAAAATTCTTTCCATCACTAATCAAAGGTCTTCAGTTTGCACCAAGAATGAAATTAACTTTGATAAGGAGAACTTTACTCCAAAAGTGAAACTTTCCGACTCAAAACTGGATTAATCAAACTTCAAAATGAATATCAGACATTTTTAGTAGGTGCTTACAAACCAAATCAGTCAAAAGCTATTTACTATTTACAAGTAAGTTGGATAATCAGTGTTGACTAAGGAATTTTCTTCTCCCCAATTACAAACATTCAAAAACAATTGAATACAATTATTTACAAATTGATGATCAACTTCTTAGAAGAATAAAAAATATGTACCTATTGAAAAATATTGTAATAACAATAATACAAAAATATGGGGAAAGGATAAAAAAAAACCCATGAATATGTTCACTATCAACTAATTGTATAATTATCTGTCATTAGTTGACACAAAATCGTGGGGGAAAGTTGAAGTTGTAGTAGTAATTTTCTTCTCATTGATTATCTCCACAACAGACTCTTGTGGTCTGGTCCTTCTCCAGACCCCGCATATAGTGGGAGCTTATTCCATCGAGCTGCCCTTTTTTTATTTATTATCTTCAAAACAGCAGTATTGACAACAAGTGAAGCAACCTAAACATCCCAAGGCACCTAGACATTGTGTGAGTGCAATTGCACACTGATGATTCATATTCGAACACGTTCTAATGCAGCAACTGCAACAGCAGCATAGACCACACAACTTCCCAAAACAATTAGATGTTGCTTTTGCTATAATCTCTGCTGCTTCGTCCTCTATATCGATGGCCCCAGGAGGAATATTCTCAATTGTAGCAGTGAGGTTACCAAAACCGAAGCCAAGGTAGTGTAGTAATATTGTCTTCTGTACTAAGCGTTCCTCTATCTTCTCATCATCAGAATGAACCTGATTCATTAAGCTCCGGTTACAGAAAGAAGACGAGTGTGATAGTGAAATGAATTTATTACAGGACCACATATTTCTGAAAAAACTCAAACTTGTTTTCTTATTAGTCTGATGTGAGGTTTCCTGTGACACCCTAACTTAGGATAAGAGTCTCACATCGGCAAAACACAGGGGACAATATCACTAGTAGGCCGTTACATTTCCCTTGCTGGATTTCTATTCCACAAATTGGTACTAGGTTAGTTATTTGACTTGTTATCCAGATTGTCAGTATCTCGAAAGTGAACTTCTAGAGATCGTCATTACTCATTTAGCATGTAGACGAATGAGCTATTACAAAATGTGCTAACTGAGCAAGTTTAGCCATTTGTGAATCCTATGGTTACCAAACTGTCTACTCAGAAATGAAGATATAATATGTCGGAGAAGATATAAAAGTTGAAGCTCTACAAATTCCATCATACCTTCCTCTTTGTGGTTGGCTTAATGACTTTCACTTTTTCCGTCTCCACCAATGCCATGCGTGTAAACTCAGAGATCACTGTGTCTTGTATACTCATTTTTGCTATCTGCCAACAAAGTAGAAGGGATCAGTAACGGAAGACAAGGGCTAAGTTGATAAAACTACTTGAGAACTACATCAAGAATATAAAGGGTGAAGTAATATAATAGGATCGGGATAAACCATTCATGTTCAAACATAAAAAAGTAGGAAGTAGTAACCTTCTGTTCAAGATCCTTATTTTGTGTAAACCATGCCTGCGCTGTGAGTATTTCAATCTGCTGCTTCACCCGTGCCTGCGTGTTCAAAATAGATGGGATTAAATTAACATAAAAGAGGATCCTCTTAAACCAAGTTCACTAATATTGAGTTCAGCGGAGCCATAAGCTGTTCTCAGTAGTTCGATCAAGAAAACAGACAGATAAACTGAGCAATTGTCCTCAATATGGTATGCACTAACAGATATAGAGAACTCCTTATTTAGTATTAGAATGAAATGGCTTGAAGAAAGTAACCCTTCGCTGATCAGCTTTAACAACTCCAGAAATTTTAAATTGACAAAGAAGGAGCCCTTTAAAGAAAAGCAATAACAACATACTCTATAGTGGGATGTGGGGTCTGGGGAGGGTGGTGTGTACGAAGACCTTACTCCTACCTCGTGCAGGTAGAGAGACTGTTTCCGATAAACCCTCAGCTCAAGTATAGCATATCAAAGCATGTAAGAGAAGGGAATACAGTAATGAAGAAGCCATGCTGAAAATATTAGAGAAATTAAAGGAAAGCAACCTCCATAGAAAGATATTTATCATTATGATCAATATTAGATTATAGATATATAGTCTAGATTGACAGGCAATTCCAAAAGCCACAAAACATGCATCATCTATTGATTATGCATCTATTACTGAGTATGCTGCCTTACCTTGTCAAGAGGTATGGCTTTGGACTTGAACCCTTTCAGCTCCACAGAGAAATTACTCATGTCTGCTAATATTCCTTTAGCTTTGAGCATCTCAGGAAACACTCCTTGGTATCTACCTGATAAGACTACAGGTCCTTCAGATGAAAGGTCTGGAATTTGAGAAGGATACACCTATCACAAAATTTAACGGTTCTCTCTCAGGAAACATGTATTTACATATGTAAGACTGCATCAATGTAATTATAGCAGTCTTTTGAAACGACACTGAGAGCTCATAACAAATCATTAAAATTCATATTCATTCAATCATAGCCAGACATATCAGTAAGGAGAGTATATATTCATAAGCACACCTCTAATTCTTCAAGGCCATCAAGGTTCTCAAAGGCAATATTTGCAAGGATGATAGATGAAGCCCTGGAGAATAGCCTCTCCAAACGAACTTGAAGTGATTCTGAAAAAGCACCAACACGGGAAATGGTTTCAGGTCACAACAGCTAAGAATTTGCACCACAAAAGCAGGTAACTTAAATCTACGCGTCTTTTGGCAAAGTAAGACCAAAAGCTGCTATAAAACACCAGCCCTTGAAACAATATTTTTGGGACACACTTGGAAACTACATCTACATGTGCTTTATGATAACACAGCATTGTCGTCGTGGTTAGCAAGGGAAAATGTGCTATTAGCCTATTATTCAGCTTGCGGACCTTGAGGTTCCAGAAATCTAAAATTGTTAAACACCAACAAGTGCCATCAGTTGTTTATAATAAGAAAATGCCTCATCTCTAAAATAGGAAGTCTTTGTTTGATTTTGGAAAAATTGTTGTCCATCTTTAGGGATCCACTAGTGAGATCATAGTAAATGAATTTTTTCTTTCTCTTGAAAA